TCTCTCCTTCCTAAGGACCCTAATCTCTCTATTCTTCCTATGGAACCCCATCCCTCTGTCCCTCTTATAGACCCCCATCATAGTGTCCCTATTATGGACACTGCATAGAACACAACCGTCTCTCCTATGGACTCCAATTTATCTGTCCCTCATATGGACTCCAAGCCCTCTGTCCCTCCTATGAACCCCAATCCCTCTGTCCCTCCTATGAACCCCAAGCCTTCTCCCTACTGTGAACCCCAATCCCTCCTCTCCTATGGACTCCAAGCCTTCTCCCTCTGTCTCTCCTATGGACTCCAAGCCTCCTATGAACCCCAATCCCTCTGTCTCTCCTATGGACCCCAAGCCTTCTGTCCCTCCTATGAACCCCAATCCCTCTGTCTCTCCTATGGACTCCAAGCCTTCTGTCCCTCCTATGAACCCCAACTCCTCTGTCTCTCCTATGAACCCCAAGCCCTCTGTCCCTCCTATGAACCCCAATCCCTCTGTCTCTCCTATGGACTCCAAGCCTTCTGTCCCTCCTATGAACCCCAATCCCTCTGTCTCTCCTATGGACTCCAAACCTTCTGTTGTCCTCCTATGAACCCCAATCCCTCTGTCTCTCCTATGAACCCCAATCCCTCTGTCTCTCCTATGTACTCCAATTCTACTGTCCCACCTATGGAAACTCATCCTTCTGTCCCTTCTATAGACCCAAATCCATCCTTCCTACCAATGTACCCAAATTCCTTCTGTTCCTCCTGTAGACCCCCCTTCCCTTGTCCCTCCTATAGACTCAAGTCTCTCTGTCCTATGGACTTTAATCCCTCTGTACCTCCTATGGACTCTATTCAACCTGTCCTTCTTATGGATCCCAGTGCCTCTGTCCCTTTTTATGAACCCAAATCCCTCTGTCCTTCCTATGGACCCCAATCCTTCCATCACTCCTAAAGACTCGAATTTCTGTCTCTCCTACGGACCCCAATCCTTTAGCCCCTGTTATGGCCCCTCATCCCTCCTATGGACCCCATACCTCTATATTTTCTATAGACCCCAATCCCTCAGTCTTTCCTTTCCCCACACATTTCAAGGAGAAACTCATATAGTCACGCAGGACTTCTGATGGACTCAACTAAAAATGACCTGGGCCGTTCCTGGGCAAATATCGGCTGTATGACGGCAGATCACCTGAAACGCGGCCCCTGGGGCTCTCATCTAAGGCCTACAAAGAGAGAAGCCCTTCACAGCGGGTGAGGGGAACTTCTGAAATCCCCTGGGGCTTTCATCTAAGGCCCCTGGGGCTCTCATCTAAGGCCTACAAAGAGAAAAGCCCTTCACAGCGGGTGAGGGGAACTTCTGAAATCTCCTGGGGCTTTCATCTAAGGCCTACAAAGAGAAAAGCCCTTCACAACGGGTGAGGGGAACTTCTGAAATCTATGGAGATGGATGGGGAAACTTCACTGAATTGTGTGCAATGGCTACTATGTTGCATGGAGATGTGGAATGTTCACTATGAGAAGTTTACTTTACGGTTCTTTATTACTTTCTGGGACTTTCTTTGGATGTTTGTTACATTGATGGAAGGATCTTGTATTTCAGAATTCCTTCTGATGTCCGACTGTTGGGCAGAATCTACCACATGGGTGTTACTGTCCACGGTTGGCGTCTCCTGGCGACAGGATCCAGATAAATGGTTCTGTCACATCCTGCTCTGGAGGATGCCGTGTTTCCAGCGGTACCGCCCGGTCCAGAGAGCCGCTACAGGATTTCCTCCACCAGGGAGGGGCCCATTTGGCAGATTATTCCAAGGCTCTTTAATAAGTGTCGGAGATGCGGAGACCGTGCGTGGGGTTCGGTCACACGGCCAATGTGGAGATCATTATGGAGTCCATGGTGTGAGGACAGCGTGGACGGATATGGAGGAGATGTACAATGGACGGCTCCTGGTTGTCACTTCCTACGGGGTCACCGACCTCTGGTTGTCCACTAACATAGATCAGGTCTGGGATCTGCCCCTACATATCATGTGACCACATGAGACCCTCCAAATCCCATTGTCTGTAGAATCCTCACACCAGGATTCCGTCATGTGTGGAGATGACCCCTGGGGGCCCCTAATGGCTCCTGACAAAGAAAGGGAAAAAGAAACCTTCGACCTGAAGAGAGAATATTGGGGGGACTTCAGCTGCCCAGAGGTGTCTGATCTGACCGGATCAGGTACATACCTTCAGTGGGACGGACGGGGGTGGGGGAGGGGCCATCAGCTCTTCAGCCTGGAGGGATCGTAGAAAGAGGACCTGTCTGTAACATTACAAGTCTCCATGACTCCCTGACATGTCACAGTTTACAGCAACAGGATCATTGTTCAGAGTCCTCCCTTACATTGGAGTCCCCAATACATCCGGGTCCCCAAAAGTCCCCCCTTACATCCGAGTCCCCATCAGAGTCCTCCCTACATGAGAGTCCCCATCAGCATCCCCCTTACACCTGGGTCCTCACCAGAGTCCCTCTTACATTCAAGTCCCCATCAGTGGTTCCCCTTACATCAAGAACCCTGTCAGATTACCCTCTTACATCAGAGTCCCCCTTACATTTGGTTCCCTCTTTACATCAGAATCCCCTTACATCCCAAATATCCCTTCTTACATCTGAATCCCCATCAGAGTTCCCCTACATCCGTGTCCCCATCAGAGTCTCCCCTTAAACCTGGGTCCTCATCAAAGTCCCCCCTTACATCCATGTCCTCATCAGAGGTCCCCCTTATATCAGTCCCCTCCAAAGTCCCTCCTTACATCCGGGTCCCCAAATATCTCTTCTATCTGAATCCCCATCAGATGTCCCCTACTTCTGTGTCCCCATCAGAGTTTCCCCTTACACCTGGGTCCTTATCAGAGTCCCCCCTTACATCCATGTCCCCATCAGAGCTCCCTCTTACATCAGTGTCCCCCTTATATCAGAGTCCCCTTCAGAGTCCCACCTTACATCAGAGTCCCCTTAGATCCGGTCCCCAAATATCCCTTCTTACATCTGAATCCCCATCAGAGTCCCCTACTTCTGTGTCCCCATCAGAGTTTCCCCTTACACCTGGGTCCTTATCAGAGTCCCCCCTTACATCCATGTCCCCATCAGAGCTCCCTCTTACATCAGTGTCCCCCTTATATCAGAGTCCCCTTCAGAGTCCCACCTTACATCAGAGTCCCCTTAGATCCGGGTCCCCAAATATCCCTTCTTACATCTGAATCCCCATCAGAGTTCCCCTACATCCGTGTCCCCATCAGAGTCTCCCCTTACATCAGAGCCCCCCCTTACACCTGGGTCCTCATCAGAGTCCCCCCTTACATCCAATTCCCCATCAGAGGTCCCCCTTACATCAGTGTCCCCCCTTATGTAAGAGTCCCTCCTTACATCAGATCCCCCCTTACATCTATGTGCCCAAATGTCCCCCCTTTACATCTGAGTCCCCATCAGAGTTTCCCTTACATCAGTATCCCCATTGGAGTGTCTCCTTACACCTGGGTCCTCATCAGAGTCTCCCCTTACATCAGATTCCCTCCTTACATCAGAGTCTTCCCTTACATCAGATTCCCCTCCTACATCAAAGTCCCCCTTACATTTGCATCCTCATCAGTGTTCCCATTACATCAGAGTCCTCTTCAGGTTCCCCCTTACATCTGGGTCCCCAAAAGTCCCCCCCCCTTACATCTGAGTCCCCATCAGAGTTCTCCTTAAATCAGAGTCCGCCTACTTCAGAGTCCCCCCTTACATCCAGGTCCCCATCTGGGTCTTCCCTTACATCAGAGGGGTCAGGTGTGGACCCCCCCCCCCCAATATGAAGCAAAGCAGCTTTTATAGTGTTTTTATGGACAATATATTTTATTATTTTTATCACATTTGAGTGATTTCTGTCTTTTTGGAGGTCCTCACCACTGCAGGGGTGTCAGTGAATGAACCCAGAACCGCCCCGATCTGCCAGCCCACGCCCCGTGTCTGATCTCCTCTATAGGGGATCTATGGGTCAGGCTGGAGGCAGGGAGCTCTATAGGGGAGGATATGGAGGAGTCTGAGGAATGTGCCAGAAATATTTCCATCCCTGGATGGAGGGCTCATCCGGCTTCCTTCCTTTATGGCTACTGGTACATTTTTGACTTTTCAGAGGAAGGACACAGGAAAAGTTGGAGATGTTTGTTTGGTACACAGCGGATGATCCCCCTTGAAGGGCCGTGTGTCTGCGCCGTGTGAAATTCTTCAGTCTCTTTGCACTCAGGCTGCTGGGAGCATCAACGTTCCAATGTGCAGAATGGGGTATAGAGGGCTCCCCCCCCCCTCCTGCAACATTCTGATAACATTTTTGAATAAAAACCATTTGATTACTTCCCTTTTTTGGGGTCTCTGTGCTTCTCTATGCAATGCAGGCAGATTGTGGCTGCTGGAAAGGGCTGGCAGGGTGCGGTACATAGTTTCCTGAAAATATCACAGCCCCTTGTCCCAGTACTCCTCTCAAGAGCCCTCAATCCTGATGCAAGCAGTGGGAGGAGTTATGCCTTGACAGGTGGGTGTCGGTCTGGAGGAGTGGGTGTTTCTGGTCTTGGTGTGTTTGCATAGATAATGCCCACATGTGATGCTGAGCCTCCATGATTGAAAGAACTGAAATCCAATGAATGAAAGGGGCGGGGTCAGGGACAGTCAGGCTGGGGAGGAAAGCACTAGATGATGCTGGACGTCCTCCAGCCCAGGAAATGGGGCGGAGCTCTCTCTGACTGGCTGCAACTTCTAATGCACATTGTGAGAAGCTCCCAGTGTGCAGTGACATCAGAGGAAGCCGCTACAGTCCAGGAGAGGAGCCAGTACACCTGTGCAGGACTGAAGGGGAGGAGCCGGTACACCTGTGCAAGATTGAAGGGGAGGAGCCAGTACACCTGTGCAGGACTGAAGGGGAGGAGCTAGTACACCTGTGCAAGACTGAAGGGGAGGAGCCAATACACCTGTGTAAGACTGAAGGGGAGGAGCCGGTACACTTATGCAAGACTGGAGGGGAGGAGCCGGTACACCTGTGCAAGACTGGAGGGGAGGAGCCGGTACAACTCAGCAAGACTGAAGGGGAGGAGCCGGTACACCTGTGCAAGACTGAAGGGGAGGAGCCGGAACACCTGTGCAAGACTGGAGGGGAGGAGCCAGTACACCTGTGCAAGGCTGGAGGGGAGGAGTCGGTACACCTGTGCAAGACTGAAGGGGAGGAGCCGGTACACCTGTGCAAGACTGAAGGGGAGGAGCCGGTACACCTATGCAAGACTGAAGGGGAGGAGACGGTACACCTGTGCAAGACTGAAGGGGAGGAGCCGGTACACCTGTGCAAGATTGGAGAGGAGGAGCCAATACACCTGTGCAAGACTGAAGGGGAGGAGCCGGTACACCTGTGCAAGACTGAAGGGGAGGAGCCGGTACACCTGTGCAAGACTGAAGGGGAGGAGCCGGTACACCTGTGCAAGACTGAAGGGGAGGAGCCGGTACACCTGTGCAGGACTGAAGGGGAGGAGGCGGTACTCCTGTGCAACATTGGAGAGGAGGAGCCGGTACACCTGTGCAAGACTGAAGGGGAGGAGCTAGTACACCTGGCAAGACTGAAGGGGAGGAGCCGGTACACTGTGTGCAAGACTGAAGGGGGGAGGAGCCGGTACACCTGTGCAAGAGACTACACCTGTGCAAAGGGAGGAGCCGGTACACCTGTGCAAGACTGAAGGGGAGGGAGGCGGTACTCCTGTGCAACATTGGAGGGGAGGAGCCGATACACCTGTGCAGGACTGGAGGGGAGGAGCCGATACACCTGTGCAGGACTGGAGGGGAGGAGCCGGTACAACTGTGCAGGACTGGAGGGGAGGGAGCCGGTACAACTCAGCAAGTCTGGACCATCTGTGTGGACAGCAGACATTGGTCTTGTAGACTCGGCGGGCGGCGTTACTCTTCATATTTTGTAGCTGAGATCTCACTGACAGACGGTGTCATTACTCTGATAGGATCGCCGCTCTGCTGACACAATACAGTGAGCATGAAATTGTTATTACAGATCAGTGTGAAATTTTACCACTGAACTCCACGCGGCGGTCACAGCGTTTTACTGCGGCACCCGAGCAGAACAACAGCTGAGAGTGTTCACCTCCGTCCTGCAGAGACACTGAATACACAAGCCGACGCATCCAACTCATACAGCGGGGGGGGGGGGGGGGGGGGGGGGGGGGGGGGGGGGGGGGGGGGGGGGGGTTGTGGTAAGGGGTGTCAATTCTGGTGCGTGCGCTCAAGGAAGACATTTCCTGCTGTACAGAAGAACTGATACTCCAAGAAGCTGCAGTCACACTTCAGCCTAGCAAATTTGAGCGTTTTTGTTTTGTGACTTTTGTGCGTTTATGCGCCTTTTCATGCAGTGTTTTTCAGGCATTTTTGAGCTTTGAGGACTTTTTATTACCTAATAGAAAAAAAATATCATCTGTTGCATAATTTTTTAGTTCTTTTTTTATTATTTTTTTATTATTATTATTTCTTTTTTTTTGTTAGGGTTAAGGTTAGGATTAAGGGAGGGGTTAGGGGATTAATATTTTATTTATTGTCTTCTTATTTATTTTTGTTAGGGTCATAATAATAATAATTTAAAAAAGGAATAAATACATGTAAAATAAATACACAAAAAAATAAAAATCATCATAAATAAAACATAAATAAATAAAATAAATGAATAATATGTAATAATAACCTTTAACCCCCTAACCCTTAAGAAAAAATAAATTATTATTATTAATAATAATATATAAAAAAAAATAATAATAAATAAACACCCTAACACAAAATGATGAATAAATAAAATAATAATAATGTGCAAGGCAACCCGTACATTTCAATGGGCTGCCCTCAGCACGAGAAACACGCAAAAAAAGTCCTTGACTCTTCTGCCAAAAATGTGCCACAGCAAACCACATGGGGCTGAGACACCACGACCAAAAAAATACTCATGTTTGCAGATGCATGGGGGCGCCATGAACAATTAGTGACACCGCCGCGTGTCTACTAAAAGGCGGAGCGTTTCTGAGTATGTTGGGAGAGCGAACAGTTCCTGACACTTAGAAGGTGGGAACCATAGTGAGCCATTACATCAATGGCGGGCTGAACACAGCGTTTGCGGCTCCACGGACGCGGGACAGCACCAGGAGATCATGTTAGATATCAAAAATGCCGTTTTCAGTCCATGTATGAACCCTGAAAATACTAAATGTAAGAACTGATCTCAAAAGAAACATTGTATTGATACACTATATTGCCCCAAGTATTGGTCGGCCGGCCTTTCCACACACATGACCTTTAATGGCCCCCCAGTCTTAGTCCGTAGGGTTCAATATTGAGTTGGCCCCGCCCTTTCCACGCACATGACCTATGACCTATAATGGCCCCCCAGTTTTAGTCCGTAGGGTTCAATATTGAGTTGGCCATGCCCTTTCCACGCACATGAACTTTAATGCCCCCCAGTCTTAGTCCATTTAATGGCCCCTTTCCACGCACATCTTTAATGTCCATCTTAGGGGGTTCAATATTGAGTTGGCCCCGCCCTTTCCACGCACATGAACTTTAATGGCCCCCCAGTCTTAGTCCGTAGGGTTCAATATTGAGTTGGCCCCGCCCTTTGCAGCTATAACAGCTTCAACTCTTCTGGGAAGGCCGTCCACAAGGTTTAGGAGGGTGTCTATGGGAAGGTTGGACCATTCTTCCAGAAGCACATTTGTCAGGTCAGGCACTGATGTTGGGGGAGGAGGCTGGCTCACAGTCTCTGCTCTACTTCATCCCAAAGGTGTTCTGTGGGGTTGAGGTCAGGACTCTGTGCAGGCCAGTCAAGTTCCTCCACCCCAAACTGGCTCCTCCATGTCTTTATGGACCTTGCTTTGTGCACTGGTGCGCAGTCATGTTGGAACAGGAAGGGGCCATCCCCAAACTCTACCCACAAAGTTGGGAGCATGAAATTGGCCAAAATGTCACCTTAAAAGTTCCCTTCACTGGAACTAGGGGGCCAAGCCCACCCCCTGAAAAACAACCCCCCCACACCATAATCCCCCCCCCCCCCCAAACTTTACACTTGGCACAATGCAGTCAGGCAAGTACCGTTCTCCTGGTAACCACCAAACCCAGAAACATCTGGATTGCCAGACAGAGAAGCATGATTGGTCACTCCAGAGAACATGTCTCCCCTGCTCTAGAGTCCAGTGGCGGCGTGCTTTACACCACGGCATCCGACACTTTGCATTGCACTTGGTGATGTAAGGTTTGGATGCAGCTGCTCGGCCATGGAAAACCATTCCATGGAGCTCTCTACGCACTCTTGTTGGGCTCATCTGAAGGCCACACCAAGTTTGGAGGTCTTTAGCTATTGACTCTGCAGACAGTTGGTGACTTCTGCGCACTGTGCGCTTCAGCATGCGCTGACCCCGCTCTGTCATGTGATGTGGCCTACCACTTGGTGGCTGAGTGGCTGTTGTTCCCAGTTGCTTCCACTTTGTTATAATCCCCCTAACAGTTGGCCGGGGAATATTTAGTAGCCAGGAAATGTCACGGATGGACTTATTGCACAGGTGACCACCTATCACGGGACCACGCTTGGAGTCACTGAGCTCCTGAGAGAGACCCATTCTTTCACCAATGTTTGTAGAAGCAGTCTGCATGCCTAGGGGCTTGATTGTATACACCTGTGTCCATGGAGGGGATTGGAACAATCCTGAATCACATGACTGGGAGGGGGGGGGGGCCAATACTTCTGTCATTATAGTGTATATTTTTGCATGTTTGTTTCGTTGTTTACAAAGTCCAATAACTGATAATAATACTTTATGGAACTCGTTCATCTAGAGAACGCTCTGCCGTATGTCAGGGGGCCGTATGGCAGAGTTCATGTCTCGCACTCTGCTCCCCCCCCCCTCCACCTGTCCTCCACCCCCAAAAATAAATGAACCTGCCAGCACACGATACTTTGGGGATATCCCGTGTTATTCTTGGCCGCGGTGACGCAAGTGTGATGCGACTCTAACTTCTCCGCGCGCCTCGTTTCCTTCTGCTTCATATTAAAAATAAAAACCTTTCATGAATCACTCCTTTTACTGTTCATTTCCGTTGCTGCGCTGCCAGTTTCCCCCAGTGTGATCCTTCCACTAATAAGAGCCGTCCTCCTCCCCCGCCCGTGCCCGCCGCTCGCTGTGCTGCAATCTGCGCAGTCATACTGACACACGGCCTTAGTCACACTATGGATGACCACCGGGCCCCTGACCTCGTTGACCCCTTCCAATGGTTTACACACATAAACATAAATTCATAGTAAAGGGTTGCTTTGCGTTTGGCGCAGGGGTTGACTGACCATTCCGGCACTAGGGCCCGGGGTCAGTAGGGGGCCCCATGAGATGCCACTGGTACCTTTCATGGGCTTTTCTGGGTGTGGTTTGAGTGCCCCATGATCCCCTATTGCCCAGGGGCCCCTTCAGTCTGCCCTTGGTTCAGCGGTGACTCTCCTCCCAGGAAATGTACGATAATACAGATACCTAAAAGGTTCCATAAATATACATGGGATGTTAAAGAAGAACTCCGTCTAAAAGTAACTGGAAAACAACGAATGACCCATTAAAAGATAAAACCACAAAACTAGCATTTGTAGCAATATACACTTTCGATGCCGATATTTCTCCCTGTAGTCGTTTTTTATTCTGCCACTAGATGTCCTCAGTCTGATGACCAGCATCATTCAACCCACTTTTTCTGAGCCAGGGTTATCCCGGACCAGCCCCCAACCTGTGACTGCACAGTGAAAGGAGAAGCAGCACGGCGATGAGCTCATCTCTCAGTCACTCCGCTCTCCTCTCCATCACCTTACAGTGGGATCGCAGGCAGAATCGGGCGAGCATGCTGATAGGAGAAGAGCGCGGAGTGACTGAGAGATAAGCTCATCGCCGTGCTGCTTCTCCTTTCACTGTGCAGTCTCAGGTTAGGGGCTGATCCGGGATAACCTTGGCCTTAGGGTTCCCATACACTTGTATTTGGGGGATTTTGCTTTTTTTTTTCTCAATCAAGTTTTTTACATATGTAATATTTTTTTTTTATAGTTGAATTATTATTATTCAGGAATTATATTGCGGTTTGCGCAGCGTCTTACCAAATGAATCTGATGAACATTTAGTCTCTTCTTCCTTCTGGCCATGTAACGAGGAGTTAAGTTGTAGCCGGAGAGGCTGGAGCTGCAGATTTGCTGCGACTTCTGGAGCTTGGAGCGTCTGGCGGGTTCTGCGGTTAGTTTTGTGTGTTTATGATTTGTTACAGGCCGGGTCCTATGAATGAGCCCTCTGTGAGCGCCGGTGACCCCTGCGAGAGGAGAGGGAGGTGTGTGTGTGTGTGGTCTGTAGTGCGCACTGATAGCTTTGGTCGGGTACAGAGGAAGCGGTGATGGCTCCGGTTGGGCATTGGCAATATGGCGGTCACCCCAGGTGCCCACAAGGTAGAATCTAAAGACGTGGCTCACCTCACCAGAACCAGATCCGACTGCTCTTCATCGCAGGCTCCATGTTCTGTATGTCCGATGTCTATGTAAGGATTCTTTCAGACAGGCGGCAATGCTTGCTGTCCTCTGAAAAGCGATCAATCAATCCCAAGGGGGGGATGTGGTAGGTAAAAAAAAAAACGCACTGCAACCACGAGCCAAGCATTTGGCTCGTGGTTGCTGTGTGCTCCCATTGAACTCAAGAGGCAAGTTTGACAGGTGGTGCCACCTGCGACTCCCTGGATAGCAACCCAGAGCATGCCGGATAATACAAATCACCCTTAAATCGATCAAATACAATAATAGCGTGCACAGGCCGTGTCCACCTTCCAGACAGATTTTACATGAATGAATAAAAAGCTGATCATTGTAAGCACCCCTGCCTTGTCTCAGCCCTGGACAGCTTGGTCTGGAAAAGGAAGTTAAACAACACCCCCTTGCCTTGTCTCAGCCCTGGACAGCTTGGTCTGGGAAAGGAAGTTAAACAACACCCGTGCCTTGTCTCAGCCCTGGACAGATTGGTCTGGGAAAGGAAGTTAACACCCCTACCTTGTCTCAGCCCTGGACAGATTGGTCTTGGAAAGGAAGTTAAACACCCCTGACTTGTCTCAGCCCTGGACAGATTGGTCTGGGAAAGGAAGTTAACACCTCTGTCTTGTCTCAGCCCTGGACAGATTGGTCTGGGAAAGGAAGTTAACACCTCTGTCTTGTCTCAGCCCTGGACAGCTTGGTCTGGGAAAGGATGTTAACACCCCTGACTTGTCTCAGCCCTGGACAGCTTGGTCTGGGAAAGGAAGGTAAACAACACCCCTGCCTGGTCTCAGCCCTGGACAGCTTGGTCTGGGAAAGGAAGGTAAAACAACACCCCTGCCTTGTCTCAGCCCTGGACAGCTTGGTCTGGGAAAAAGGAAGTTAACACCCCTGACTTGTCTCAGCCCTGGACAGCTTGGTCTGGGGAAGGAAGTTAAACAACACCCCTGACTTGTCTCAGCCCTGGACAGCTTGGTCTGGGAAAGGAAGGTAAACAACACCCCTGACTTGTCTCAGCCCTGGACAGCTTGGTCTGGGAAAGGAAGGTAAACAACACCCCTGACTTGTCTCAGCCCTGGGCAGCTTGGTCTGGGAAAGGAAGTTAACAACAGATTTTTCATTAGGTGAAAGTAAGGGCCTATAAAAGAAAACAAATGCAGCCGTCACATACATGTAAGATGGTTATTATTGGAATCTGGGTGGCATTTCCTTAGCTCTGCGCTCTGTGCATCATAAACTATTTCAATTTTTTCCTGTCTTCACCTTTTTTATTTCCTCCTTTGTTGCATGCCGGTACTGTGTGTATTTTCTGCAGCCTCTTTGCAGCCACTTCCTGTCTACATGCACTCCAGCAATGGCTATGTGGCATTTCTCAGGCGGGGATTCCTGATGGTGACAACAGTTGACCATATCTCTGCATTGTGTGTTGAAATGTCCATTTCTTGTTGCCACCTGAAGCCCGTTTGACAGGATGACAACTCAGGAGCACAACTGGGAGCCAGGGACAGAGTGCTGTCACCTTGACTCATGGTCTAAAATCCGTAATTACAGTTGAGTGAAAGTTGGAGAAAAGGATCTTGAAAGATTAGGGTGACAACAGAGTAGCACAATTGTGAGGCAGGGACAGAGTGTTGTCACCTTGACTCTTGGTCTGAAATCCGTAATTACATTTGGGTAGAGGTGGGAGAAAACAATCTTCAAAGATCAGGGTGACAACAGAGGACAACAGTTGGGAGACAAGGACATAATGTTTTCATCCTGATGCCTGCGTAATTACAGGGGTCTGAAAAGATCCGTAATTTGGGACAGCTGGACTCCTGGTCTGTGATAGTACATTGGGTAGAGAGGAAAAGGATCTTCAAAGATCAGGGTGACAACAGAGGACCATAATTGGGAGACAGGGACAGACTGTTACCACCTTGACTCCTAATTTGAGATCCGTAATAACAGTTGGGTAGAGGTTGGAGAAAAGGATCTTCAAAGATCAGGGTTACAACAAGGGACCATAATTGGAGATAGGGACAGAGTGTTACCACCTTGACTCCTGGTCTGAGATCCGTAATAACAGTTGGGTAGAGAGTGGAGAAAAGAATCTTCAAAGACCTGGGTGACAACAGAGGACCACAATTGTGAGGCAGGGACAGAGTGTTGCCACCTTGACTCCTGATCTGAGATCTGTAATTAAAGTTGAGTAGAGGTTGAAGAAAAGGATCTTCAAAGATCATAGTATTCCTATTACACAGCCGACCATGTCTGGCAGTGTTGAAACAGCCACTTCTAGTCTCCATCCAAAGCCTGTGAGGGTGACAACACAGGAGAACAGCTGGGTGACAGGGCAGAGTGTTGTCACCTTATCCTGCCTCTTGGCAGGATCATACCTCTACAGAATAGGAAGAGTGACCCTCTGCTGTCCCTTATTAGTGGCTACTAGTCTGAGGTTCTTCATTATATTTGGGTAGAGGTTGGACAAAGCTATTTTCAAAGGTCAGCATGGTACCATTACGGAGCTGACCATGCCTATGAAAAATGTGCCAAAATGGCCACTTATAGCCTCCATCGGAAGCCTGTGTGTCAAGGCAACAACACAAGAGAACATTTCCGTGGCAGATTCATACCCCAACAGAATAGGAAGACTTCCCCTCTCCTGTTCCTCATTAGTGACTCCTGGTCTGAGATCCATAATTACAGTTGGGTAATGGTCCGTCAAAAGGATCTTCAAAGACCAGCGTGGTCCCTCCATGACGTGGGATGAAATATCACCTTCCTGGGGGCACATTTGGAGGCTTCCCGTCACTTCACAGACACATCCAAGGTTTCCTATGTGTCACTATCACACAAGGGTCATAAGTCTGACTGTACCATGACTGGAACAAGACCGGCACTGTGTACATCCAAATAACAAGTCTTCTCCAAGATGTTCCAGAGAAACTCACGTAACTCCATCCTCCGTGTTCTCCCTTCAGAAAATGAATCATACAAACGGATATCTAAAATCTCATATCATGTTCATGTCATATTAAAAGTCATTGGCAATCTTTTTATATGTGCAGCTTTTAATAAAATAGTCTCTGGTGATCCTGCCATGAAGGTCCTTGGTCAGACATGGCCTGTTAT